GAATTGCGATTCGAATTGCAGTGTCCAATTCCTTATATCAGTTTCAAATTGATTACGCGTATCATTTGTAAATATCAAACACCTGAATCATCGTTGGAATTCGAAACGCGATTAACCAACTTCGAATTCTTATATGTGACATAAAATTTGTATAGTGAGAAGTTAAAACAGAATGGTAATAATTAATATTTTATACGTATATGCAGCATTTATATAATTGTTTTGTAAATCCATATGCAGTTTATTGACAAGAAAAATCCTAATTATTTGTGTTTTTTAATTCATCCGATTCTTGAATTCGTTTTCGTGTCGGCGTTCAGGTTCTGCTGTATCAAATTTCTGGCTGGTATCAATCCCGCCAACAATCAGGCAACCCACGCACGCGTGAATTCCTCCACGTATCTCTCGCGGATCATTCTATCCACTACACATCTCGTTACCACGAATAAACTGCGCACTCCCTGGAAACAGCATCGGAAGCTCTTCCCGTGGAAATTCCCGCCAATTTGCATACGTATTAACCAGCGGACCGCGCTAGCGCATGAATCATTTATACCGGCGATGAGACTAATTTGAAATTTGTCAGAGAACCAAGTTCCGGCATATTCGAAAAATAAAACCTATTTGCTCGGCTAAACCGCGCCTCCTACTCTTTCGCGCAGGGATATTTATGTATTAAGTGTTATGCATTAACCAGCGTCTGGACGAAACTGCAGGCCCAGGCTTTGTAAAATCCGTCCACGCCTTGTACCTGCAATCTGCATATATATTAGAACACGCCGTCAGACGGAACGAAATAAACGTGCCAAGTCCCTGCGTTTTTATATGTACAGAAATTGAGCTCGTTTGCTCCCGGCTTTAACTTTTGAAGGATGGACCTCTTGTATTTATTATTACGCTAACGTTTATCATTCGTTCTTATTTCTACTATTGAGGAAAATTAAATTCATAAAACCGCTGAGATCTCGTGGGGTTGTTAAGTAATTGACTGAAGGGAAAAGAAATCTATTTGGAAGTGCTTCACTTGGTTCAAGTTTTCGTTTGGTAGTTCTTATTGCAGGATCATTAAATAATTGGGATAGCAAGTTTCGTAGCACGGGTCGTTAATATCCATCGGCTGGTTATTATTAATGAAGTCGGAGATCGATCGATTGTCGAATACCGATCCGACGGATACCGAATCGGGTTCTCTTATTTCTTAATGGTTTCTGATCGGTCGTGAAAGTCGCTTAATCGTTTCCCGAACGGATTACCCGCTCAGAGGGTGGCTCGCCCGGTTCAAGAACACGGTATTTAATTAACCGTGGCGTTTCGGATTCTTACTGCCGCGCGGATCAAAGGACCCGAAGTGTCGAAACTCGCAGCACGTTACTCGGCGAGCTTTAATTAGAAATTCTGTCCTACATCGAACCTCCTACTTTTTTTCGACCGTGCCCGAGTGAAAATTGATCTGTCTCTCGCTATCAATCTTCCGCTCGTTCGTTCCGTTTGCTGCGCGCGAAATCGCGTAATTAATCATTCAAAATGATCCTCCAGATTGGAGTCTACGTATGTATGACATGTACGATGACTAGTAACGTTCATTGACCTACATTTATTATCGGAATTTCTCTTAAATAAATTTGTTCACTCCCGTGAGATTTTTAAGCATCCATAAAAAAATCTTGGTACTTGTTTCATGAAAATTCCCAATCTCTTTCCCAAGAGTCGGAGATATCGTACCTGCTCGAGTACGGCTGCCCGCAAGAATTCTTCCCGTATCGTTTATTCACGCACGCTCGGATTCCACACGACGAGTAATTCGGTCAAGTTTGTTCTGCCCGTTTTACACGGCAATTAAAAAAGAGTCGGGTACACCCACGATTCATTAAGTCCTTGCCCCAGCCTCGATGCCAATTTGTCGGGTTGTGTATCGTCGGCAGCGAGTAGTGTAGCTCTCATAAATGTCAAGTTCGTATAATATTACTGTCGGTAGATTAGTAACGTAAGACCTCAGACGAATAGGGAAATACTTGTATTTATTATTACGCTAACGTTTATCATTCGTTCTTATTTCTACTATTGAGGAAAATTAAATTCATAAAACCGCTGAGATCTCGTGGGGTTGTTAAGTAATTGACTGAAGGGAAAAGAAATCTATTTGGAAGTGCTTCACTTGGTTCAAGTTTTCGTTTGGTAGTTCTTATTGCAGGATCATTAAATAATTGGGATAGCAAGTTTCGTAGCACGGGTCGTTAATATCCATCGGCTGGTTATTATTAATGAAGTCGGAGATCGATCGATTGTCGAATACCGATCCGACGGATACCGAATCGGGTTCTCTTATTTCTTAATGGTTTCTGATCGGTCGTGAAAGTCGCTTAATCGTTTCCCGAACGGATTACCCGCTCAGAGGGTGGCTCGCCCGGTTCAAGAACACGGTATTTAATTAACCGTGGCGTTTCGGATTCTTACTGCCGCGCGGATCAAAGGACCCGAAGTGTCGAAACTCGCAGCACGTTACTCGGCGAGCTTTAATTAGAAATTCTGTCCTACATCGAACCTCCTACTTTTTTTCGACCGTGCCCGAGTGAAAATTGATCTGTCTCTCGCTATCAATCTTCCGCTCGTTCGTTCCGTTTGCTGCGCGCGAAATCGCGTAATTAATCATTCAAAATGATCCTCCAGATTGGAGTCTACGTATGTATGACATGTACGATGACTAGTAACGTTCATTGACCTACATTTATTATCGGAATTTCTCTTAAATAAATTTGTTCACTCCCGTGAGATTTTTAAGCATCCATAAAAAAATCTTGGTACTTGTTTCATGAAAATTCCCAATCTCTTTCCCAAGAGTCGGAGATATCGTACCTGCTCGAGTACGGCTGCCCGCAAGAATTCTTCCCGTATCGTTTATTCACGCACGCTCGGATTCCACACGACGAGTAATTCGGTCAAGTTTGTTCTGCCCGTTTTACACGGCAATTAAAAAAGAGTCGGGTACACCCACGATTCATTAAGTCCTTGCCCCAGCCTCGATGCCAATTTGTCGGGTTGTGTATCGTCGGCAGCGAGTAGTGTAGCTCTCATAAATGTCAAGTTCGTATAATATTACTGTCGGTAGATTAGTAACGTAAGACCTCAGACGAATAGGGAAATGAAAACCTGCAGTAAGCAGCTTTATACAAATCTGACGCAGAACACAGAATAGTAGTTCCAATGTAAAATACAATCATCTTTGAACGCGTTAGTATTTTATAATAAATAAGTAGTAAATTTTTGTCATGAATTACTGAAATGAATTATTATAAATATTTTATACTGGCAGCATATTTCCACCTTCGATATTCGGCGGTTATCAAATTATTTGGTTGCATATCGTGCATCGTGAAAGCGACGAATTGGACGATTTCGAAAGAAGGCGAGAACGGGTTTCACGGTAATCAATCGGTTAACGCGAGGCGCGGCTTTTTGTCGACCGGGACAAGATCGGTCCCGGACTTTCACGACGTTTATGACCGCAATTAGCCGGTTGATACATGAAAGCCCGATCGAGAGGAATCGGCAACTTTTTCACTCTTAATAACGACTCGAGGTGCGAAAAGAAACGAACCAACACCTGCACCGATTCCTTTTACAATTCTCTGAAAAATATATTTCAATGATCTTACTATACTATCAAATATCATGTGTTTTATTTATTTATTGTTATTATTAAAAAACCTTGGAAAATCCTCTTTTTAAACTGATATCATGAATGTTTTATTGCGAATAACGTTGAGCTCGGTTAGTTTGCTGCAAAAAAGGAGTCTACACCTGGAGGAAGTCGATGTCGCGATCACGGTGCGTGAAGTTCGTTTCGGTGACTGAGCAACCCCCTACAACAGTATGTTTATCGATCAGAGTGTGCAGGAGATGGATCCTGGAACTCGTGGGAACCTGGTGTTAACGACGCGTGTCACTGGCCCTTTAAAAGCCCGACGGGGTCGGTCACACGTGCAGCCACGTGCCGTTGCGTTACAAATGTGTAAATAGGGGGTGGAGAAATAAAGAGAGGGTTGCTACTTTTGTGGGAATTGTTCCCCGTCGAGTTCCCATAAAGATATATACTTGACTTTTTTTTCGTAACAATATACAATTAAGCTTTCTTATGATCAAATAAGAAATTCATTCATGATTGAGAATGAGAAGTATTAATGGACATGAGAAATCCAAAGATTTAATTTAAGTTTCAGAATATATTTATGAAAATATTGGATCAGAACCTGATTTTTACAGATTACGAATTTCAATTTATTTATTTCCTCGATTATTATACATTTTCGCAAAAAATATCGTATATTCAATTTTATTGCGAAAGGCGGATAGCACAATGGCTTAGGAGAAATCGAAGATAGGAGGAAGATACAATAGACGTCCAGCCAGTTTAATTTCCTATACCATTTGTAATACGGTGGTCCGCACGAAGGCGATTGCTTTTACACGGGGGGGTCGCGACCCGAGCACGGGATCACGATTTTAATCCGCGAATCGTGAACAACGCCACGCCCGGTTTTCAACTCGGCACACGTCAGCCGCTGACCTTTTCGATACCTGCCATCGAGATTGAACCGATAACCGATCGTAGCTCGTGCTCGTTGAAACGCACAATTCACCGAGCTGTTCCGATTTTACGAACAGCTGTAAGAGCTACTATAAATAGTACATCTAATATTCTATGATGGGCGTAGATATGAATATCATGGCATTACTCATTTTCTATAATGACAGATGAGTAACAAAATATTTAACTTGTATAAGTAATAGAAATATATGACATTTTTTAAATATCTTGTTATGTACATTTAAAAATTTTTTATATTTGTATAATTATTTTCTTCTATATTTTGCTGTTTCATTTGAATTCCTTATGAATGCATTAAGGATGTATTGCCAAAATATCCTTAAAGTATGCAATTTACGTTGTATGAAACAAGAGACGAGGCGTATAAATTCAGTGGCTCTGTTCGGTGTTTCAGGTGGTTCTGCCACTTCGACGACGATAATTACGTGAACGTGCCACGCCTGCTGAAGCTCCTGGACAACTACAATCCGCGGGAGGATTGGTACTTGGGCAGGCCCTCTATACCAGCACCCCTGGAGATCATCAGACAAGGACCGGAACCGTCCAAGCGACCGGTGAGTTTTTAATTTTGCGCTCTACTAAATGAGAACCAGTTTCGCGGCGCCGGTTTTTTGCCCAAAAGCGGGGATCCCTGATTTTTGAACCGGGACAACTTAAAATCGGCCGCGATCAATCGGTTAAGTTAGGATTAATCGACTCCGGGTTTTTGCGATTCGGCTTCCGCGAAGATGAGAAGCTTTCAGGCTTGGGTGACGCTTAATGGAGACAGTAATGACCGAGGTTGTGTTTTTTTTACCATAGCTCGACAGCTACAGGCGTGAAATTCGCTTTCTTCGCGTCGCGGGAGGTCCGAGTGAAGGAAACGGAAAGAGAATGAATCAGTTTCGGAGAGATAAAATGGATTTCAATTCAGATAATTACCGAGGATATATTATTACTCGATGGTTGTATTAAAGAATGCACGATCCGGTGCGAACGTTGCGCATTTTCTCGCACGAACGCGGAAGGAAGCGAATTACGTCACTACCGACTGGTCTTATCGAATTTATGCATCCGGGAGGCAGCAGCTCGTCCGTATTTTCCAGCTTGCCAACCTGAACTGAATCCACGGCTGTTGCTATCACCCCTCGGGAGGGATGAAGCGCCAGCCGGCGATCTGTACTCCTTTTCTCTACCCTTCTTAAAAATGTTCATTAATTTATGGCGTTATTCAAAGTCCGATAGGCAATCTCGAAACAGTTGCTTGAACTTTATAACTGTTTCATTTTACTTAAATACTTTTAGTATTTATTTGATATTTTATACACTGTGCATTCTGTAATTTCTTCTGAAGTTACGTCTCGTATCCCGTTGCAGTGTGCTAGCTTTTTACTGGTAATTCCTTTCGAGGTGAGCCGTGAAATCGCAATTCTTCTCGCGACAGACACGAACGAGTCTCGAGCAGTCAATTTCAAAGCTCTTATTACACTCTTCTTTAATCTCCGCGCTCACTCTCCGGTCAAAAAATTTCAAAAACAATTAAAAGAATTATCGGAGTAGGGGACAAGACTGTACGAGTAGTTAAAAATAATAATTTCTGAAATACTATGCGTGTAAAATTAAGATCACAGCTGTTGGTTTAATCTCGATCCGATTGTATGTGGTAAAACGTAGGAATTCGTTATTAAGAGTAGTTCTGGCTATAGAGGATTTAAGTCCCTCAGTTGGAGTGGCAGACGTGATCAAAAATCGATAAAGGGCCTGTCTTACCAGCAGACTCGACGAGATACACGATGCGATTCGGATTCCGCGAGATATGATCTTCCACGGCAGCCGACAGGTAAAACGGGGCACCGCGATCTTATCGGACGACAGTGTCATGCTATAAGCCCATTAATCCTTTTTCCCCTTGCCGAAAAAAGAGCGAGTCGAGTATAAAAGGATCAACGGTGAAAAAAAGTCTCTCGGTGCATTTATCATTCGCTTAGACAAATTAATAGTGGCATTGATCCGCTCCGAGTCCTCGGGCCATCAGTGACATCCGGCCTACAGATAGAAAAGAATTAGGAAACATTCAGAAATGTTTCCGGAGCTTGAGAATCTGGGAGATTGTAGATTAGAAGTTTTTTTTTATTATTCACATTAATATCAGTACTTAAAAATTGTACTCTTAAAACACCGCAATTTTTAATAGAATAAGCTTTCATATTTTAAGAATGTAGGCATCATATTTGGTTTGAATGATGAAAGCGTTGAGTCCATATAATAAAAATGTTAATGCAACAAAAGAAAAGATGAAGAGCTGTTACATAAGCTTGCATTAGATCAATGCTTTTCGCGTATTCTCCCATTCTATTGCAGAGAAATAAAGAGAGAGAGAGAGAGAGAGAGAGAGAGAGAGAGAGTTCATGTCGATTGAATGGACATTGTTCGGCGAACACAACCGGCATAAAGGGAGCCTGCCCTCTTTCTACCCGTTTTTCAGCCACGCTCCACCTCGAGAAATCCTCTCCTCTTCATTCAGCCTTCTTACGATCCGGTCGAACCAGTATCGTTGCACAAGAATGAGATAGAAAAGAGAAGGAGAGAACCCTCCCTTGAAAGTCGATCGTGCTTGGCTATCGATAACGCGCATGGTAACCCACTTAACGTTCTACAACCGTTCCTTCTCTTCCCTTTGCTTACGATCTTGCAATTAGATTAATCGGCATGCAGCAATTTTATTAAGGGGAGGGGCCCGTGCTTCAGATTCGGGGAGGCCCATAATTTTTACCAGTCGATAAATAGGGTGCAACACTTTCTCAGTTTTTCATATTCATCCTTGTTCAATATTTGAACTTATAGATATGTATTTAGTTTAAACTCGATATCAAAGAGTATAGAATTTTCTGAGGATTATAACGATTAAATTGGATAATACAAGTTTTGGATTTATCTTTATTCATTGAAATTATGGACACATGACAATTGCAATAAACATAAAGAGTACATAGAATAATCGAATTTTAATTAATCTTCAAATGCAATACCCTCGAACCTTGTTAATTAGAATTTATGATAAAATATCTGTATTAATTTGGATCTCCTTAAAAATTCTAAAGAATTGTTGAATACAGTAAAAGCTAACGTGCAGAATGCAGTGCGAGTAAAAGGCGCGGTTAGGTTTCTTTCCTGCGAATATTATATGCTCCTGATGCGACGTCCACTGGTGTCCGACCCCCCATGGGTGTGGTACCATCGTCGAGATTATGGTCTCGGTATCGTGGACGGTTACTCCCCGGGGGCTTCGCGTACTCGTATATTATATTTGCCCGAGAAATACTTCTCCCCACTCCCTCTTGCTGTTCCTTCCTCCAAGTTTCTTCTTGAACGCGTATCAAGACTACTCGCAGAGCTGCAGGCTGTGCACGTGCGAGACGATTCTTTCACTTTCGTCTTGATACTTTTAATTAACGAAGTTACACAGTTCCATGATAGTCTAAAAATTATCATTATAGAAATTTAATTATCGTTTTGTATTATAATCAGTCATCTACAAATCCACGTGGTGGAACCGTTAGAAACTCTAGTGGAGGGTACCGTTTGCGTAACGAAAATAATACTCGATGGAGTAGTAAAAGAGTTGCCGTTTGAGAGGCGAACTCGGAGGCTAATTAATAGTTCCGGGAACGGACAGAAGGTGAGGAGAAAGGATCGCAGGATTGCGAGCAGGAAGAAGGAGGGAAAGGGAGGACGGAATGCGGGACATGTGGCGCGCATCCGCGTGCCTCCGGCCTGCGAACAGGGTGCGATTTTCTGGCGAATGCAGGAATAGGTGTTAGAGCCCCACGCTCGTAATCGTCGCCGTAATGCATCCGTGGAATTTCACAAAATTCAAACTTTTGTCGTTGTAAAATCAGTTAACGATATTAATAAGAGTTCTGTAATAAATCATATAAAAATGCCAAACATTTGATCATTAATGATTTCTAATGATGTAACATGAATTATTTCAATGATTAACTTAGAACGATTAGGACAATTTGTTGGTTGCTCAATTATCTGACATGATATTACATTTCAATAATGGATCTATGATCTATGATCTATTGATGTTGTATTAATTGGCAATTAATATGTATTTTATAGAACTATTTGAAATTATTAGAGATCGATTTTCATTTGATCGGAAAGAATTCGTGGAGACAGTCATTTGGTTTCGATCCTGGCTGAGAGAGTACATAATTGGTCCGTGAAAAACGCGCGAAGAATTCATCGTTTAGATGCCTCGCGATCCCATGCCTAACCATGGGTGCGCGGTTTGTTTGCTCGGGTTTTTGCGTCGGTAATAGGAAAACCGCAGCCGCGGAACGAGACCAGTCTTCCCTCGGGAAGATTACTGACATCCGACCTTCTAACATAATATCAAGGCCGATGAAATTGCATCTCATAATCACTAATATAATTCACACTGAGAAATGTAATTATGAATCCGATAAAAATTCTATGGGGACTCGTTCGGAAAGCTTGAATATTTGGAAAAGATTTATATCGTTCCATAAAAGAAAGTGGAACTCCTCGATTTTTTGTGTCGGTAGGGAACGATTGGTAGCAGATAATTATCGAGCGCAGGTTTCGACGGATAGGCTTTAATGAAACGTCTCGTATTTCAAGCGAGGGCCTGCCTACCTTTCGCTCGCGCCTCGCAATCTCTAACCCTTTTCCTCTTTCCGTCCGCTGAATGATTAATACGGCCACTGGAGAGCCGCGGGTTTACTGCTTTCCCGCTGTGACCACCTACGGCTGCCCTTTTTTCTCCCCGAGTCCATCGCGCCACGGACGTCCACTCCATCTTCTTTTTCAACGAGAGAGCTACGACCGTTTCCTCTTTTCTGTTAACACTTCCGGTTCCAAGAAAGTTGCAATAATTCTAAGTAGTTCCAGCCCCTAAGTTCTAAATTAAAAACTATTCTAGTTTCGAGAATTCAAAGTAGATCAATTATTAATATGTTAAATCTCTGAATTCTGAATCGTATATTTTTCAACTGAAAATCAATGAATTAAAATTACAATTAAAAATTGTTCCAAAGAGGTAAGAACTGGTAAGCTTGAAAGATTTCTTCATATGAAGTACAAGTTAATCGGTCGTGTTGTGTCAGTTGGTTTACATTCTTTCACGGGGTGGTAATTACTGTACCGGTATATTGCGCACCACGCCCTCGGTGAAAGGGTGATCGAAACGAAATAGAAGAAGAAGAAGAAGAAGGAGAAGAAGGGAAGAGAAAAAGGAGCTAGAGTCCGGTAGGTGGTTTCAGTTGGACGGTAGGCCGATCCAGCCTCGGGATAACCTGCCGATGAACCGTAAACCAGGAACTTATTACCAAGCCGTGTACCTCCGCGCGGTTGCTTTATTATTTGCAACCATCTATACCACACGTGTTTCTACCATCACGCTACTATCTGGCAATAATTTTCCATTTTAATCATTATTGGGAGTACAGACTAGTCCACAGATTTTAATTCAAATATCTCGTATTGGACGAATATTTTTTCATCAGTTATTATAATTTAGTAAGCGCAGATTTTAGCAAAAACG